GCACCTCTAGGCTGGACATCCACGTCAATGTTGCACCGGTGGACGCAATGACATATGTCTTCTTTTGTGCTTCACCGTGAAGAAACAAGGCTGTCATGTCGACTCCGGAGATCTTCTTGTCTTCTGGCAGAGCTGTGCAGAATCTGCGCATCGTGACCTGGTCGCACTGGGCTTGAGCCACTGTTCGGGTATGTCTTCCGTTACCACCTTCGATGAAGGTGAGGTACTCTGATTCCGCTCTACGTGCGCGGCCTTTCGACTGAATGTACTGGATTGCAGACCTGTACAGATCAAAGCGAATGACGATACTGCAGTCCGGAATATCTATTCCTTCTTCTGCAACCTGCGTTGCAAACAGGCAGTTGACTTTGCCGTGCCTGAACTTGGAAATGGTTAGGACTTGTTCTTTGAACGACATGTTGGCTGCTCCAGAATCGGGCCGACTTCCAATCTGCCAGGAAAAGTCAGCTTCAAAAGTAAATAGATAGCACAGAAGGACTTACCAGAAACTCGGCGTTGAGGAACGGAAGTTTCGTGGCCTCTTGGCGGAACAAGTCGGTCAAAAGCAGGGCTGTCAGGCGCATGTCAACGAACACAATGCACTTGTGATCGGTGGGCTTGGAGAAACGCGCTTGAAGTTCCTCCCATAGACGAAGCACCTTGGTTGAAAGGTGATCAAGTGTCGGCAAGACTTCACTGAAATCGTGATCCTTGACAATCTCTCGAAGTTTTTGCACGGCTGACGCCTCCTTGCCAGTCATGTCGAGGCCGTAGTAGGTCATGTCAGTTCTGTTCGTCAACCGCAAAATCGTCGTGTCAGTAAGGAAAAGCTTCCAGAGTCGATCGGACAGCCATGGTCCAAGGAACGATGTTGCTTGGCGCGCAAAGAATAGTTCCTTGCCGAAGTGGCAGTTGTGGCGGACAAGTCCAGCTACCTTGCGGTACAACTCTGTCTCAAATGGCATAGGTAGCATGCCGTAAAAGACATCTTTTTCCATGATGTTGCGCGCGTGGGCTTTCAACGAGGTTGAATCCTCCGGTATGGTGGCGATCTCGCTATGTAGAAGACCCTCGAGGCGTGCAGCGGCGATCTTGACATCGGTTTGAGCATCCACGGGCGAAGCGGTCATGCCGAATATTTTTGGCCTCTTTTCCATGTCAGTCTCTTTGATGTAGTAGTCCTTGATGATACGTGCGTACGGATGGTCTTTCTTCGTATGATGAGCTTCGTCGAAGATGAGGAGGTTGATCTGATCCATGCGAATGTACGAGTGCGCCAGACACTTTTGCAAGATGGCCGCCGTGCAGACCACAACCTTGTTCTCTTCAAATTGCTGCGCCCAAAATTCGTGAGACCACATCGAGTCGAGCATGTCTCCGCAAAATCTGGCCACGCTATGTCCCAGATTGCATTCGAGGACAGCATGTTGCTGGAACACAAGCGACACTTTGTCGACCTTGTTGGGAGTTAGTTGAGCCCTAATGAGCAATGAACATGCATCACTTACCAGAAAGAAGGCAATGCGCCTGGGCTTGCCTGCTGCACGGTCCTCAACTTCGTTCTGGAGAACGTGTTGCAGTAGCAAAGCAGCTATAAGCGTCTTTCCAGATCCTAGATACTGGTTAACACAACTAACAGATAGTGGCCGTGGCTTGAACCATACCGGTGTCTAAGACTGCGATGATGTTCCTCATCTTCGCCCTTTCAAACAGCTCAATCTGATACTCACGAGGAGTACCAATGATCTGCTTGGTGTCCTTCATAATAAGTCCAGCCGCGGAGAACTCGTCCAAAACCTTCTCACGGCTGTCGTCCAAGTGGACATTTCTTGTGAAATTCTGCAGAGTTGCGAAGTCTGTTCTTGCCTTCTGGGAGATTGTCCGAGACTGAGTGGGGTTTTGGTGCCACTCGCGGTACACATCTTCCTCCTCATCACTGTTCTCATTGTGATTTTCGTTATCTTCACCCGTGTCTCCGAAGACCTCCGATTTAGCGTCATGAAGAACTGCGGATGACGGTTGGCTTTGAGAATCAACATTTGTTGACTCTGTGTTCTGAGTTCCAAGAATTGATGTAGGTGCTGGTCCGGGGGTTTCTGCAAGGCAGTCGGTCAGGACAACCGGAGCTTCCTTCTTGACGAGCATGTTGGTGTCTCGGAGTAGGGTCTCTGATTTTGGCGATTGTGGTGAAACAGAATGTCCGGAGATATGTCGTCCTGGACGATACGCGAGATGGTGAGTGGGAAGGCTCAAGAGGTTTGGGGTTGACGAAGTGATGCGTGCTCACCTAGGTTGCGTCGGTGTAGGAAGGCACAGGCGCCTACGTGATGGGAAGGTGGTACTCTTGCTGATTCAAGAATACAGCGTGCTGAAAGTCGAAGGTGGTAGAGGGCACAACTTGTGGGAACTGCTAAAGTCAAGAAAGCCCCAAAGGAGGGTGGATGTGGCTTCACCCAGACACGGTAACCTATGCCTCAGAGTCTCTGAAGAACTCGTATAGCCTCAGGTCACTGAGGTGGTTTGTGGAAGGGTGAAAGGTAGAAGGCTGTGGAAGAGGAGGAGGTGAGAAGGAGACCTGGAAGAAAGGCAGCAGCTTAAATAGACCAAAGGGTCCCGAGCTGGTGAAGTCGTCGAGAAGGAGCATTCAGCACTTAAGAGGAAGGCAGGTATGGGTTGAAGAGGGGATAAAAAGGATTCACGAGTTGAGGCAGGAGTTTCAAGAAGAGAAGGCAGGAAGTACCCTGCCATATAATGTGAGGATACTTTTCTGGATTACGGGAAGCAGCATATGAGCAAACAGGACAAAACTAGTTAGAACAAAACGAGCCTATTGTGGTCCAATGGCTTCAAGGAATACATAAATTCTTAGGTTACCTCTGCCCACCGGGTGATTCTATCAACATCCTGCTTGTGATGAGCCAGTGTCCATTTATCGTGATCAAGTTGCAAGTTGAAGCACCCCTGCAAGACGTCCAACGAATAAGGGAAAGGGGTCTTGAGCTTGCGCAATTCTGGCGAATATTGTAGTGACATGAAGAAGGAAAGGAAGGAGTGGAAGAACATGCGAAAGCTTGAGCATGTAGCAATATGCCTGATTCTTCTAATAAACATCAACTGATACTTACATACCTACCTACACTGACGGGTGGCACGTCTGCTGAGTTCAAGTCGTCCATCCCAATTCCATGCAGGGCCAAAATGTAGGTAGTTACATCCGGACCCCTGCACTTACCCCACCACCTTCCCCTGTATGGAAATTAGATAAGATAAGAAGCTAGACCCTGGAGCGGGGCACCCAACAGAGTGCCGTCGCCACCAGAGAAACGTCTGGTCGCTATTATTCTCGTGATACACCTGCCCAAGCAATCAAGATCCTGTTGTCGAGTACTAGCCAGCTTAGTTCAAACCGTCACACGCCACCATAAGACTCGGTCGCCACTTGGAGCCTACACGGGATCAGCGCCTCCCGAGACCCCTATCGAGGGATATTTAACTCGTGCGCCTTCGTGTTTCCCCCCCCCCCCCAACCGCCGCTCGAACGCACCCTGACGACCTCGCCATCGTTAGATCGCAAGAATGTCCGCCGACGATCAACCCCAGACCTTAAAATCAGTCTTCGCATCCGCAGAGAGGAAGCGGCACACCCTCGAGAACTCTTACGAGGCTTCTTCTCCCACCTACCACGATGACTTGCGCACCGCAATCGCCGAGTACGAGGCCTGCCTCGAGATCGTCTCTCGCGCCGCCCTCTTCTCCCCCAACGAGTTCCTTGAGGATCTTCCGACCTCATCTCTGCCATACCTGATGATCACATCTCATCTCGCCGACCTGCACCAGAAGGCTCCCTCCCGCCGCCCCATCGAGCGCCGGGTCAATCTCGAGCGCGCCCGCGAGTCCTACGAGACCTTCCTCGGACTCCTCGACTCCTACGACCTCCTCAGCGAGGACAACAAGAAGCTGTACTCACGGTACACGGACGACTCCGTCGCGTTTTCCACCCTGGGAGGCGTCGACCCCGCGAAGCGCCGCGACACCAAGATTGCCAACTTCAAAGCCGAGCGGGCGCTGAAGCAGCGGCTCGAGACGCTGCGTCGCGACCCCCGGTACCAGGACGATGAGGGCGACGACGAGATTGTGCGGGACCTGCACCTCGCGCACGCCGCGTATGCTACGCACATGGCGTTTCAGGGCCTAGAGGGCATCAACCGCGAGCTGGAGGTTTTGGCGCAGGCCACGGTACCGCTGATGCCGTCTCCGACTTCTGTCGAGGAGGACAACCGCCGCCGCGCCGAGGATCGCACTGCCGAAGGCTTCACAGACCGACTGGAAGCGCCGCGCCGGCTGCACAGCATGTTCGGTCAGCCAGGCGGCCCTTTGCTGACGAAGGAGGGCAAGCCACTGCAGCCATTCACCCTCGTGGGCAATAGGCAGGAGATGGCCGCCAACGTGTTCCGGCCCGGTCACAACCTGCCGACGATGAGCATCGACGAGTACCTGGAGGTAGAGCGGGAGAGAGGTGGTATCATCGAGGGCGGGGGTGACGCGAGCTGGCACCGGCCAGAGCCGGATGAGGACGACTTTGACAAGGCGGACGAAGAGACGATGAAGGCGAGAGCCTGGGATGAATTCGTCGAGGCGAACCCCAAGGGCTCAGGAAACACGCTGAATCGGGGCTGAGCGCCAGCGAATCTGGGTCGGTGATTGGAGTACATATAGGAAGGATGGGAGTTTGCGCATAGATCAAAAGGGAAAATACCACGATTCAACGCCACCAGCTCACTGGTGAGCCATCAATTCAAAAATTAAGACGTCCGCATTGACATAAAGTAGCCCGTAATGCATATTTGCCTGTTTGTCATTGACTTTCGTCCTATTTCCTGAACCTCAAACTTTTCTCGTGTTTACAAGCGTATTTATCTCGATGATGGCACACCCAGAATAGTTATTGCCCTCCTTGACGCCAAAAAGTCCGTAACAAAACCTTGTCCCCGATTACCCCCCTAAACCATGATTAAATCATCGTCTCCCTCATCCGCAGAGCAGACAGATAGTGTAGCGATGACCGACGGCGTAGAAACAGTCTCTGTGCCGTCATTGTGCAAAGCGGACAGGTCGCGACTGTCCGTCGCGGACCCTGCAGCAACGATGTACTCAGGGGTTACCTCCCTAGACCGACTCTCTTCCGGCCCAATCTCCGTCATGACTTCATCCAAGTCATCGACATCTTCGTCTTCAAAGTTCAACGTGTCGGCATCCGACTGCTCAGAAGTCTCCTCGAGCACGACTGCACCCACTGCGTTGGCGATAGATTGTCCATCTGTAGGAATGGCGTACTTTGCGTCGGTAAAATCGTACCCGCCATCAGTGAAAGACTCTGAGCGCATTGAGACATCGTCGGCTATGACCTTGCCTCGATTGAAGACCGTGGATATGCCGTCCTGGACATCCACACTACCGGGTCCTACGCTACTGCCCCCTTCCAAACGCAGCTCTCTCAAGACGCTGCTCACAGAACCAGCCGTGCTCGACGCATCTGATGCAATCGAGATTCCAGTGTGGTAAGCCGGTCCAGGCCCTGCCGGCCCATATTCGGCTGGGGGAAGAGATGGCTCAAACACACCGCCCGTGCCGTCGTCGTTTCCACCGGCCCAAAGAGGGAGGAACTTGTACTCATTGTTCGTCAGTGTCAGTAGAAGATGACCGGTCATATTCATGGGGATTTCAAATCCGATGCGAACTGAATCCTGACTGAATGGGTGGAGGAGCGACTTGAGATTTTCTTGGAAAGACTCCGTATCGAAGGCGTGTTGCGAAACCATCAACGCCCCCCCCGGCCCAAGATTCAAGACTGCCCTCCAAGCCGGATCGCGTCTGAAGGAAGGATGACTGGTGAGTACATTTTGCGTGGCGATCCACAATTCGGTGGCCAAATGATATAAGTTCAGGTTCTTCGTTCCGACCGTGAATAAGTTGAAAGTCCACGTCAAATTTCCCCACTTGTCCCTAATATTGTCGTATATGAAAGGACATAGTGCCTTTTGGACGTCGTTGAAGTAGTTATACGTCAATTCAAAACGATTGAAGTGCTGGATATCGACGTAAGTCGCGCGATGATCGTCAATTCTGTTCAGCCGGTCGGCGTCCAGCAATTTGCCGATTACTTCGATGACCACCTGGGTTTTCCAAACCTTCTTCAAGGCTTCGGCCAATTTAATGGCCTTCTCCTTGGCTGCTAGACAGGTCTGATCGTCGGGAAGGCTCGAGAACATGACGATGAGCTCGTTCAGGCGAATCCACTCCGGTATTTGCAGGTCATCGAAGATGGTGTCGCTCATCAATTGCTTTACAGGCCGCGAGACACGCTCAACCATGGCTCGAGCAGCATGCTGAATGAGGTTATTGAGATCGTCGCCGGGATCGTGACGTCTGCGGCCAAACACTGTGTAAGTGGCGGCCTTGGGCACTCCATTGGGAGCAGCAGCTTCTTCGATGGCCAACTCATTGACCAGGATTCGGAATGCAGAACGGGTGACATCCTCTGACTGTAAGGCTACACCAATCTGTAAGCTTTCTTCAGGAAGAACTTCAATGAACATGGTATTGTTAGCGCTCATGAGCCATTGAAGAACCTGGTCACGCTACGCTTTTTGTTAGCAGAGTCTCCCAGGGGCGATGTTTAGGAATGAACTTACGACGACATGCGTGCAATCCAGAATCTTCGCGACAGCCACCAAAGTCCAAACTCGAGGGGCAGAGTCAACAAGAACTCGCTTGTCGGAAATCATGTACATCAGGCGGAGGATGTTCACGCGGTGGCGGACAGCGCAGTAGTCAGGAATCCGACGCCATGACGGAACCGGCTCAGGTGTTAGATCCTTCTTGGACTTCTTCTCCAGCAATCTAGCAGCGGCTCCTTTGGTGGATGTGCATGTCCTCTCCGAGGACTTTGCAGTCTGTGGACCAGTCTCTCGTAGGCTCTGTGCGATTGCTGTCTCGATCGCGCGTTCCATTGCAACATCTGTCTTCTCTGTGATCTGACGTGAGACCATGCCGTTGGGCGTGGAACCTGGCTTTGCCGTTGCAGTGGCCTTATCACTGTCTTCCGGCTGAGGATCCTTCCAACAACCACATATGTCATCGTGTCCAGAAACAACGTAATCGTCAGTGCCGTACTTGTCGTACGCCATCCACCAGTTTATGATACCGGGTGTCAGGGAGACTTCGGTCATCTGGAATACGAGATCGTCACCCTCAGATGGTGGGGTCAGATCGAGGACGAACTTGATACCGTCGGGGAGCTTATTGACCAGCTTTCGCCGACGCATAATGCGGTATTGGTACGTGGGACTCAGCATTTCAGCAAACTTGGATGATCCGGTTGCCTTGAGCTTCTCAGAGTGCATGCGAAACTCCACCGAGTTCCAGGCATAGACGAAGCAGTCGACATTATCGGCAGGCTTCGTAGGGGCCGGGAAGTCAACAAAAACTAGGGTGTCTCCGTCTGAAAGTTCGTTTCGAATATCATGAAGAAGGAACTGAGAATAGCGGCGGCGCTCGACATGCGTCATGTCGGCCTTCAGAGTGAAAGCGGGTTGGGAAGTCGGCGCGTAAACATCTTCCTGTGATCCGGACCCGTTATCGAGGTCGTCCTGGAGGTTGTCGTGCGTAGTGTCGGCGTCCTCGACGATATCTTTCGTATCGAAGAAATCATAGATATTGACCTCGTCGGTGTTGTTTGCGATGCCATGGTTATCATTATCGTGGTCGGGAGCGTATTGATCCCAAGAAGGGAGATCGTCACCCGACGTTGGCTCCATAGGAATGCCTCTATCCCAGTCATCCATTTTGAAGACGACGTCGAAGGCGACAGGAGGGATGCTCGTGAATGTGCGAGGTAGTTGGACAGCGGGCGCCTGGTGAAGTATACCGATGTGAGCAAGCGCGGAGGATGCAGCAGGTCTGTTGCAGAGGCCCGAAACGGATGGTGATGCGCAATCGATGAAGTAGAATATCCGAGAGAGGAAGAAGGAAAAGAGGTTCAATTACTTGAGGCGTCTTGGGTGTCGTAAATGAGGCGCACCGGGTGGTAGAGAGGTTGCGCAGCCTTGTCCAGGCAGCAAGGCCTCGAGGAGTCAGATGTTGATGCAGGTGAGTCTACCTAAGGCTCCTGTACCCGGGGCGTGCGGCGGGAGTCTTTCAATGGGGTCGCAAAGGTTGAGATCAAACGCGAAGGAGCTACTTGGGTAGATTTCCGAAAGGAGCTTGTTAGCTTCCAACGGCCAAGTCACCAACAATGAGAAAGTACGATGATAATGCAGCCAGATGGTGAAGGGGAGATGCGGCGGAGGGGTTGTAGAAGTGAAGTGAAGCATGCCTCACAAGTCTACCGACTTGGAGAAGGTACTTTTTTTCTTTTTTTCTTTTTTTCTTTTTCGGGTCGTGGCTGTTCGGGCAGGAGGTGAACACAAAAAGGGCATAAGCAGATGGAAAGGAAAGACAGGCTAGGCAACCTGTGACCCTGCCTGGAGCTCGGTACTCGACATAGAATTCAAGTAGAGGTGGATGGTGCTTTGGACCCTCCTCCTCTACTTCAGTGTCAGCGTGAGACTCAACGTTGATTCGGTGTGGTTCGTTCTCCCAAGAAGAGCAGCGGCCACGTTTAGGCCGACACGTTGGTGGCCGAGAGTTACACTCTTCTTGTTTGGGAAGAAGATGAGAAGAGCAACGTACTACGCAGTAGTATCCAGGAAGGAATCTTAAGAAAGTCTCGTGCGGGCCCTCTTGATCAATGACAGTTTCAGCCAATGTACAATTTTGCTACACTTTTGGAGTCGTGAAGTGATCGTACCAAAGTCCCATGTCAAGTACCTGGGTCTCATACCCACCTTACCTAGGTTGGAGAGACATTCAGCACGTAGGACTGCGCCCTCATTTGTTCGTTGTTGACGTTAGGAACCATGGAATGAATGTCACTGCTGCCTGCCTGCCACGCCTGCCTACCTACCTTACCTTCCGAGCCAACAGTGGGGTAGCGGCAGTAAGGTAAGGTAGCCCCCGCCTTCCCGCCCTGGGTACCCATAGCGGGGAAGCTTCACCTCTTACCTAGGTACTTTAAGGTGAAGTACCTAAGCAGGTAAGGTAGACAGGCACCTCCAGCTGCCCGAAGTGCCTTCCTGATAGCTCTCTAGTCTAATTACAACCCTAGGCACCTTACCCTTACCTTCGCACGCAGTACATAGCGAGGTACTCCCGTTTTCCGCTTTGGCCGTCACTCCCGTCGCCAAGTGAGAAAAACACAATGAGCCTCGGAATTCATGTTCGGATGGGAAGCCAAAGCGACATTAAAACCAGAGGCTTCGGGCAAAGCTCCAGCTACAAAGCTTCCGTATTCTCACAACGGTCCTTCGTGTTGGTCTCAGCGTACATTACATGACATTATCTTTGCTAATGGCTCTACATCATTATTCTACCACCTCAGCTTCCCTGCATAGCCTTTTGCTCCCCTGGCTCCTCGACCAGGCGTCGGCTGAAACCCTGTCCAACTCTAAAACTCGCCTTATCATTCTTCGCATGGCGTACTGGCCCTTGACTTGAGCGCGCGAGTGCCGCCGACCGGCATGAGCTTCATGCCGTCTTTCTGCGATAAGAAACCACGCGCAGTTAGCTCACGTATCTTTTAACCAGTATCTCCCGTCGAACTGATAGCTCGTCAGGAAGACGGCTCTTTTCTCCCCAAACTGTTAGTGTGGCATGGCCATATATTCCATCGCCCAGCCTCAAGCCACGTCGCATCCCTTCTCACAACTACCCCAAGCTTTCCTAGCCCGAAATCATGGTCGTGTGCCGTCCCCCGCTGCCGTCTCCCCGAACCCGCCGTCCAGAAACCAAGCAAACCCCGGCCACAGTAGTCGTTCATTTGGGTTCGTTCTAGGCGTCGTACAGGGGCCGTAATGGCACTTTTCGTGCGTTCCCCAAAAATTAGGTAATCGTCATGACGCAGTCGAGTCGTCTGATCCAAGACACCAAGCAGCTCCCTCCCGTTTCCCCAACAAAAACGAGTGCCCCTCCACCTTTGGCCCCAAGATCTGGAGCTAAGCTGAGGTGCCGAGGACGTGGAGATCTACTTAATGCCCCCCCTCCCACGCCTTCACACGTCGGAAGCGACCGGTTTATACGCCTACATTGCGCCTGGGAGCTGAAGTTGTGACTTCCCCAACTCCATCACCAATATCGTCTTGATATCTGCCATCATGGATCCCAAGCCAGCCATGCCAAGTCAGATTCGCCCTGGCGTGTAAGTGTACTGTCCCGTCACCTGCCCTAACTTCCGCTTGCCGTACGATATCCGCCACCCTGGACAGCATATTGACACACCGATGCAGACGTCACCGCGGCGTGCTTCTCGCTGCCATGGCTGTATCAACTGCTATAGTCGGCATCAGATACCAAGCCAACTCCAGAAGAACAAACGAGTTGAACCAGCGAACAACTGCCCCCTACTACGTAACTGTCGACAGGAGCGGCGGTGGAATCTGAGATGGCACGCATAGTCATCACGTCTGAGCTGGCGATGCCTAAGGCTTTGCTCTTGTGTCGACGCCCTGTTTTGGTGGCGGTGGACGGGATACTATCGCTCACAGCAATACAGTTCTGTGTGACTTGGACACTTCCAGAGTAGTAACTCGGAGTAGTGTTCCAGGGGGAATGCAACGAGAGTTAACGGAAGACAAGAATAAATTTTCGTACATATCAATACAGGAGACTGTGATGACTGGAGGGAAAATGACCTCGAATCGATCCTGGCGCAAACTAAAACACCATCATTACTCCATCTACATGTCCAAATGCAACATGCAACCAGCTCGCGATTTATATGCGACTTGACTTAAAACAGGTCGAACTTCCAGAGAAAACCTCTGGTTCCAAACGCCCCAGCGATGCGACAATTACCAGCTGTGACTGAGGTATAGCGCGCCAGAAAATGCCCAGCAAATCAAAACGCGTCTCCCCTTTTACATTGAGCTCCTCTTCCCTGGCGCCATGCTCTCGCTATCGGAATCATCGCCAGACGAGTGTGCGACTTCCTTGCCCTTCGCTTTTGCGCTCAGCAAACCCACCTTTGGCTCCAGCATGCTCTTCCGACTAGGAGGGCGCTTGCCAGTGGTTCTCCTGACCATCTTGGGTCTCTCAGCACCTTCTTCCTTTCTCGCACCAGCAGGACTTGCCAACCCAGAAAACTTCTGGAGTTCTTCACCTGATGAGTTGCGGCGTGTAGTCGGGGCAGTCGAGTTCGAATTCGTCTTAAGCCCGCGCAACTCCCTGGCAACGTCGGCGAAGCTCTCTTCCAATGTCTTCATCCGTGCCAACACGAGCTTGCTCATACGGTTGCTATCACCGGAATCTTGACCGCGTCCCGCTCCGTTGAGTCGTGCGTCCTTCATCAAAGCCATCGCCATTTGAGTTTGGAAGCTCGACGGCATGCCTCCCGTCGGGTCGTCAGGTGCTATGTTGTCCGACAAAATGCTCATGTCAACCGAGGATAGTCGTCTCATCTGGTTCGGACGGAGCCGTTGGTCGATGCCCGTGAGCGCTGCTCGGTTGGGCGCAGTCTGAGTTGCGTCCCTAGGTGGCAGTATAGGCCTGGGCCGTGTGTTGGTTGTCACGTATGTCTGGCGGCGCGGCGAGCGATGGCCGCTAGTCGCTGCCGGCTCGACCACCGCAGCTCGACTAGTCTGCACGCGCGCGCGAGTGGGTGGTGGCTCCGGTGACGAATGAGAAGACGAGCTAGGCGGTCGGCGCAACTCCTGAGGGGCGTATAGGATTGTGTTCGTCGACATTGTTCGACTGTGAGGCATGCGGCGTGCTGAGCGAGGGGTAGCGGCGATGGATGGCCGGCCACTCGAACCAAGTGATGACGATGTAGGCGGAGCAGCGCTGAAACGCTTCGACATCGGCGTTGTAGTGAAGTAGTCGTCAATCTGCGTCTGGTGAATCACCGGGCCCCGACGACTCTCGCCTGCGTTTGTTGCGATGTCCTCCTCTTCTTCCTCATCATTTGTGACAAGCTCATCATCACCGTCAGCGTCCGTCTGCTGGTTCTCTTCTTCCTTGGCCTTCGTTGCCGCGGCTATCCCTCGGAAGAAAGAACCGATGGCAGGCTGTGACGTAAAATCTGCGGGATCGCTTGCAGCCGATCTGATGTCTGATATTTGACGAGACCGCTGGGATCGAAGCTCCTTCGAGAGACTCAATCGACGATGCCAGTCAGGTCGTATGCTTTGGCCGCCTTCCATCGTCGGCCACTGAGGGACCTGGGGAGAAGCGTCGGCATCATCGGCCTGATCCATCCAGTTACGGATGGCATTTTGCGTTTTCCGTCGTTCATGCCGTCTCTGATTTCGCAACGTGGTAATGCCAGGACCACGCCGAAACACTTCCTCCAGAGCGTGGTCTTTCTGGTAGCCGGTAACAGATTCCTCGCGAACCCGCACATTGGGACTGAATAACGCAGAGCGAGCCGAGGGATCAGCGAACGAAATGGTTCTATCACGCCCATGATGGTGGTTTTCGACGAGATCCGTTGGCTCGAACATTGATGGCGCCAGCCAATACTTCTCATAAAGATAAATTGAAAAGAGGAGAGGAAAATGCGTGACCTTGATGATGGTCCTGTTCAGCCGGACAAAATGCTTCAGCGGCATGCAATACCGCAGAGGCATGAGCAACCACGCGAATATGTTTCCTGGCGCAACGTAGGAGAACAAGGCATCGTTCTTGACCATGGAGATCGTGTTAATGGCGAAGAGAAATCTAGATTGTGTAAGTAGATTGATTTGGCGATGTA